CGAGAGGGCTTGCAGCTGCGTCCGCCTCGGTGGTGTTGATGCTAAAAGAATGGAGAAGTGGTGATGGTGCGTCGTGGTAGTTGGGTTTCGCTGTCTGATGGGAAGAACTGTCTTGCTCCTCTTGCTCGAACGCGTGTTTGCCACCATTGATGACGGATGCTGCCGGCGGGGGCTCGTGCAGCCCCAAAAGAACGCTGAAGAGCGCGAGTGGACGAGTGAGAACGAAATGAGTCAGAAAAGAAGCCATTGTCGACGCTGGCCGACGAGACCTTCGAGAATTGATGAATGCAGACATGGGAGGGTGGAAGTCTTCCTACCGTGACAGAACAGAGACGAGGGTTTGGTTATTATTCATTCTACACACGTCGGACATTGGAAAAAATGTGATGATGGCTCCATGATCTGTTCCTTACCGTTTTACTTCTCGCTGAGCAAGAAGAGCGTTTCACCGTGTACATGCTGGACACACGCTTGTCAAACGCGACTAGAGTGAGAATGCATGGCGGGAATGAGCGCTGTGTGGGCTCACACTACTTTGAAATGTCATCGGTATGTCTGGAGTGGGCTTACCACTCTCACATGAATTCTACTCTGTACGACCTATGCATACCTTTCGTTGATCTTGTCCATGTACTCGGCGAACGCAAGCTTGTCTGCCAACAGACTTGCGTCGCTGCCTACCGCCGATTGGATCTCTTTGAAAGCGAGCTCAGCGAACGCCCTCACACGCGGGGCTGAAACAAGGAGGGGACAAGGGAATGCCATTCAATACGAGAGGCGCACGTCTTTGAGGAAGCCCCTTGAGAAAACGTATGCGAGGGCAAGCGAGAGGACGTTGACTTGTAGCACAATGGATATACTGTACACCTTCACAAATGAGGCTCATAGCCTATCACGGATACTGTGTAATACCCTGGCACGGTGGCGTAGAGGCTGTGTTGTCGACGCTAGTAGAGGTGATGTCACGTGCGAGGGGGAAGCCTGGAGACGAAGAGTCCTTCCAAGATGGAAAGAAAACGTTGGGATATTGGAACACTGGCGCGTGAGTGGCCAACACAATCCGGGAGAATCACAGCAGAGAGTCAGCTACTCGGCTAGCAGGCCGAGAATCCTGCGGGAGTGATTCCTCCGCATATACTGCGTAAGTTACAATCGAACCGACACATAGATATCTAAGACATACAAGGGCAGTGCTACTGAACGTTGACCCATACTGGGTACGTGCTAAACATTTCCATGGCACTCCCCCTCAATGAAAGCCGCTCTAAATTGTACCGAACTATTGATGATTAAATCAAGCAAGTAATTCGTTCCTGCATACCTCAAGTCGTTTCATGCTGTTCAACTACCAATGTACCAAGTGATATTTCATGTTTTACACGTGCTACAATATATCCATGGGCTTGCAGAGAGTACCTGTCATTGTTTCCTGCACAAACCAAAGTACCATGACTTTCAATTTTCGTGACTCTTTCAACCAGATGGTACGAGGCCGAATGTCGACTACCGAAAGAGCACGCTGATTCACGCAAGCAGAACAGATTCAAAAATGCTTCGTAACAAACACACAAACATATAACACGATTACTTGACCTTGTTGATGATGAAAACGTTGACGTTGACGTTGTTGATGACGTCCAGCTGATGTTTGAAGCGGTGCTTGTTGAGGTGTTTCGCGCCGATGTCGGCAGGGTTGCTGCTGGTCGGGATGTAGTGGATGGAGATCCTTCCTTCTGATAAGAGCTCTCGGATGG